AAATTAATATCAATTTTTATTTTTTTAAGTATATTTATAATAAAAATATATAATAAATATAATCTTATTTTTTACCAAGACAGAATATAATTTTTTTTATTATTTATTGTAAGAGTATCTTGGGCCAATTTTGCACATTGGGATTCTCTTTTTTTTAAGATGTTCTTAAGCTTACTATATTTAAAAAAAACTTTTTTTTAAATAAACTCTTAAATTTATAAAATAATATTTATATATTAATAAATCTAATTTTTGACTTTTTAGTTCATGATCATGACTTCGGATTCTCAATGACGTGCCTTTACAACACCCTCGATCGGGCGCGGCGGCATTTACCTCTCTGGCACCAATTTACGTGCCAATCGAAATATTCTCTGCCATGAAAGCAAAATGAAAAGGATTGCCAACGCTAGTGGGATTCCTGAATCCTGATCATCTTAAAATGTTCCAAACGATCATGTGCTTTTATGCTATTTGTCATTTCTTATATTATCCTTTCTTACTGTTTCTACGTACACAAAATCAAAGAGACCGAAAAACCCTTCTTTTCCCCTATAAATAGCCTCCAGGAATGAACAAGAAACACAACTCAGTCAAGCAAAGAGCTATGGCTTTCCAGTAGAAGTAGACGCGACGTGATATTGGTCCGGCTCATCTTCTCCGCTTCCTCGCCGTGCCGGTGCTCGGAAGCTTTAAGGCGAGCCGAATCAATATCACTCTCGTATGCTTTTTCCTATATATGTTGGTGTTGCATCCTCTGTTATCATGCCAACTTCGAAGTTTCTAGGGCAAATTAAAACTTTTTTTTTGAACAAGTGCAATTTTTGGGGAAATGGGGAAGGGATTGAACTCAACACATGGGGCTGGGGAACTACATCTTTAACCAAACAGCTTATAAGGACAGATGCTTCTAAAGCAAAAGCTAGCACCTTCATTTTCTTCTATGTTTAATTTCCCTTCATATTTATCCAGTTCATTTTTTTAGTAACATTGATGTTCAAATCTTTCATCCGAGTAGATCTCATGGAAGGTAATTTTCCGTTAGAAACTCAATATTTAGAGAAAGTAATTTACAATGAATTCTGTATATTTGATTCTAATTGTCATTATTTCTGACGGACAGTTCTCGTTTTGTAATGTTTGTGAACAGCTTGTTTTCTAGTAAAAATATGCTGCCGCTTGTCCGCAGCTGCCCCTTTTGCCCCTCTTTACTGTTGGATGATGCTGTGATAGCTAGGAGTTTGGCTTCAAAGAGAGGACATTTTTTAACTTTTCTGGCCATTAGAGTAACGTTAATGATCCAGTTACAATGCTCCTCTTAGCGAGAGATGTGATATCATATAAGTAAACGTATATCAATTCATTTGTCTCATAGAATAAAAAGAAGTCCATCATCCAACTAAAGAAAAGTAGAAAGAGTTTGGGCACAACGCAAATTTACAAAATGCTTTCCAATTATTGATAATAAAACCTTTCACCATGATGTGATATAGTATTTTATTGATTCTTTTTACTCAAGTTAATCTCATAAATAAGTATGTATTAACTAGTTTGATTAACTGATACCACGTGACTATTGTACGAATTTATTGTTACTAAATCATTGTTGACCATGGCCCACCCCATGGAAAAAACAGTGTGAAACATGATCAGAGCTTTATTAAAATTGCTCTAGTGTTTACCTACATCACCCTTAACTGTTCTAGACTCAAGTGAGATCCTAACAAGAGAAGAAATAAAAATAGAAATTAACAAATTTCCCAAGAGAGGTTGTTAAGATGCCACTAGTGCTACCAACAAGGACAAGCAGAGATGTTCTGAGAGCATTGCCTCTTGGAAGTTAAGCCAATAGCGTTTGCCTCCTGACTGATCTCAATAATATGAAGCTACACATGAAAACAACACCATAAATTGAATAAGTATTACATCCGTGGAACAATTAAACACATACATTGACGAAAAATATACTATGAAGCTCAAACACCTGATCAGGAACTCAAGATTTCGATGTGTTCAAGGGGAGGCCCCAAACCTGATCCATTAAAAAATCAAACGTAGCAGGGGAGAGGGAAACACCTACATAATCAGTCCTAGAACCGGTAGCCCCTTTTAAATGCCTCCTTGTAATCCCTTTATCTCTTCACCGTTTGCTATAATAAAATAGAATATGTCAGAGTCATCAGCAATTCAAGAACACCACGAGATTCATTCAAACCAAGCTCAAAAAATAAACTGAGGCTGCTACTTGATGGGTGGACCAACAGACGGAGTGGAAAAGTGTGGTGAGAAACCTATGCAGCTGGCAAAGACAAACTTTTGTAGAAAAAAAAGTATCCTCCACTGACCAACACGAACCAAAAAATACAAAAACAGTTAACTAACAAGAATTTCAGCTTTAGGCTTGTCATAATGCAAATTGTAATCCATAAAATGCTGTCCTAAAGTTTGCTTCTTGTCAACCATCTTTATTGCTGGTTTCATTATCCAGGTTATTCTACAACTCAAGAACTCAAATCCCATAAGAATTTCCCTTAGGTAAATGGCTGAATGATATGTTAATCCCATATACATTATAGCAAAATTTTCAGTGTTCAGTTCACAAGTTGATGGGTTTACCCTATTCGTAACAATAAATCATCATACAAAATGTTATTGGACAAAAGTATAATAGATTCTTTCTTATATCTAAAAGAATTACATGTTGGACTACCGATTTGTATTACCATCTTTAAAAACTATAGAGTAAGAAGCAAATAAATCTCCTGGCTCCTGGACGTCATCTTTCATTCGCAAAGTTCTGAATCGAATTCGATTAACAGCACGTTCACCTCTTGGGGAAACAAAGAGGAATACAGGTTTGTTTATTCTCTTCTGATTCCTGTACTAACTCCTTTCCTCCTCCACCTCGAGCAGAAAGAGGCGATACCAAACCCCCTTTAGCACCTGCAGTTGACTGAATTCATGAGACATATAGGTGAGTTACTTGCAGAAAAAGCTATATTAAGAAGAGGGGTGAGAGTCAGCAGTTGAAAGAGACGCAATCGTGGACCTGTTGAACGGGTGGATAATTAGGAGTGTAGGGCCTGCAGGCGTGACGGCGGGTTTTATAGAGCACTTCACAAACGGAATCCACCATGGCCGACGCTCCTTCGGCGGTGGTTAACCATCTGAGTCGTCCTCGGTTTCTCCGAGATGAGATCTCGAGGAGAAGTGAAGAAAGATGGATGGTGTTTGGTATAGGGACAAAGAAAACGGTTCGGCCCAACACAACCGGGCTATGATCCATCGAATGGACCTTGGTGGTGGTTTGCACAAGCACAATGGTTCGAGTACCAAGTCTTTTTCTAAAGCCTATTCAGTTAAAGCTGGCGTTTTTGGTTCTTGTTTTTATTTTTACTAGATAGTACCCGTGCCGTCGCACGGGAACATTAAATGTTGTCTTTTTAAAATTAGATAGTACCCGTGCCGTCGCACGGGAACATTAAAAGTTGTCTTTTTAAAATTAGATAGTACCCGTGCCGTG